GCATGACAGCTTCAAGTGAATGTCTTGAGATCACATTGGAGAATTTGATGAAGTTTTCTGTTTCTTTCTTGTTTTGATTGGAAGAGTAGTTCAGTTGTGTCATTTCTGTTTGCTTGGCTTGAAGCTTATATGTTGGTTGATTTAACTGCTAGTTATAACATGTGCAGTTTCTGAAAACTATCTCTGGACAGACTTCCATTTAGGAATTTATTATCTTAGAACTATTGTCAAGCTTTGTATTAGCTTTGCTTATCTAACTTAATTCTTTCGTTGTCATTCAATCACTGTTGAAATTTGCAAGGAGTAATAATGTCTTACTGTTACGAAAAATAGGACAGATTGAGATCAAACTTTTTACCTGAAATTTGTTCCAACCTTTACATTAGTAGTATTCAGCTTAATTTCTTTTCAGATCGACAGAATTGCTCGTATTGCATTTGAAACTGCAAGGAAGCGTAGAGGAAAACTATGTAGCGTGGATAAAGCAAATGTTTTGGAGGTAAAAGCTAATTTTCTCTCCCCGTTCCTCAACCCTTCCTTTCTTCTCCTCAGTTTCTGCCTTCAACTTTCTTGTCTAATTCTGTTTCTTTTATAAAACAAGTAAATCTATTAATAGTTGCACCAACATGGTGCCAGAATAGTCTTCACTACATATATGATTTCTCTTTAACCTTCTAGAAATTAAAAATTTAGTCAACTACCCAACTATCTATACAAAAAGTATCTATTCTATATACCAGAAGTAGACTAGAATTAGAAAGGAGCTCAATATCCTTCAACTGGTTCATGTAATCTTTCTTTGCAAATCATCCAGCAAAAGCCATAGTGGAGTCATTCTCATGCTACTCTTCTTCAATCATGAATCTTCACCAATCTCACGCTAGCCAAGGTTGTCTGTTGCTGAATTTGTTAATGGGAAATACAACACAAATAAGGAAAAAACATAAACCCACAATTTGTAACTCGCGTGCAAGTGTAAGATCAAGTAATCAACAAAATCCACTCTACTTTAATCAAGTTTCTTTAAACCCTTCAGCAGTTGACACTTTAAAAGAATTGTACTATAGACTGAATTTTTCTTTGTTTACTCTAATTTGCCGCTACTTAAAACTGCAACTGGGAGACCATAAAGATAGCATTGAGATTGAGTTCATTAAGGGTAATTTCTTGTTCTATAGTTCATGATTTTGAGATATTTGCCAGGCCTCTATGCTTTGGAGGAAGATAGTTACAGCGTTAGCCTCAGAGTATCCTGATGTAGAGCTCTCTCACATGTATGTTGATAATGCAGCTATGCAACTTGTTCGCAACCCAAAACAGGTTTCATTTACCTTTGGTTTTACAATTTTTTGTTTCTCAAGTCTGGTCTTAGCACATGATGACACACTCATCCATGGAGTTGATCCTCGAAACAATCATAATGCAGTTTGATACAATTGTGACAAACAACATATTTGGTGACATCCTGTCCGATGAAGCATCAATGATTACAGGAAGTATCGGGATGCTTCCATCAGCCAGTCTTGGTGCAGCGGTATTTCCCAATTATCTCATTTCTTTGGAAATATTGGTTCTTTTTCTTCCTGACGACAAATTCTTTAATCTCCTTTTACTTTTGGACACATGTTGTCTCTAGGGACCTGGATTGTTTGAACCTATACATGGTTCTGCTCCTGATATTGCTGGGCAGGTTGGCTCTAGTATTTCTTTCTCTCTCTTTTTCTCTTCCCCCTTCTCCTTTAAGTACGGACGATCCCCCCAACTTCCCACCCGGAAATTTGCATATGTTCATATGCTTAAACACTAACTTTAAACATGCAGGATAAAGCAAACCCTTTGGCAACAATGCTCAGTGCTGCTATGCTTCTGAAGTATGGCCTAGGTGAGGAGAAGGCTGCTCAGAGAATTGAAGCAGCTGTTTTAGACGCCTTAAATCGAGGATTCCGTACTGGTGACATTCACTCAGCAGGACATGTGAGTTTTATCTTATATTAGACAACTCTTTTACTAAATTGCCAATATATTTCTCCTTGGGATTTAGCTGATCTCTAATTCTCTTGCACTTGAACGACATTTGGTCATGCGGCCAACAAACGAGAAAAATTAGATTATTCTAGACCTCTATGCATAGTTTGGATCAATTTGAATGCTGAAATTATTTAGAAGCTAACATTATCACATATACAACTGCTGAATCTCTTGTTTTCAGAAATTGGTCGGATGCAAGGAAATGGGTGAAGAAGTGCTCAAGTCTATCGACAGCAAAACTCCTGCTGCTGTTTAATTTTTTTAAGAGGAGGCTTCCTTGAGACCTCAACAAATGATCTTTTTGGCAGATGCATTTGCAGTCGGTATAATTTTTGCCATTTATGTAACTGTTTGAAGGATTCAAAATTGCTGAGTGTTGTATCGTGTAGCCTAAACGTCTCTATTCTTTTGTCTGATGTTTTTGAGACATTATCCTATTGTAACATGAAGTGAACCTTGGTGCAACAGTAAAGTTGTCTTCACGAGTTCAAGTTGTGGAATCAACTGGTAATGCTTGCATTACTTTTCCTTGGACCCTACGTGAATACATGGTGCTTTATGCATTGGGCTGCCCTTTTTATTCTGTTGTAACATGGAAGGCAATGAAAATAAGTTTTTTTTACCTTGGGAAACTGGAATGGAACAATTGTTGACCAATATTGTTGCTGTGGTTGCTATATTTTCTATCTTTGGCCAAATTTCCAATTAAGATCATTTCTGTAACTTCACTTAAAGGATTTAGAGCCCGTTTGGATTGGCTTAAAAAAAGTACTCCTAGCTTTTAAGTCAAAAATAAAAAGTCAAGCTGAAATGACTTTTAAGTCAAAAAATAAAAAGTAGGGGAAACCTACTTTTGAGTTCTAACTTATTTTAAGTCATTTTTGACTTATTTTGAGTCATTTTTGACTTATTTTAAGTTATTTTTAATATTTGTCAAACACTTTCAGAAATAAAAAATTGACTTAAAAGTAGGTTTGACCAACTTTTAAGTCAATCCAAACACCCTCTTAAGTTAAGAGTGCAATAATATTTTTGGAGAGTCCGAACAATATAGGATTCACTTCAAGTTCTTTTCATTCCTGTCTTTACATCTCAACCAAACATATAAGTTCAGTATCTTTGAGATTTTATATTTTATACCAAGTTGACACATTAACTTAACTTATTATAGTTAAGTGAATATTAAGATGATATATACACTCCTATTAATTAATCATGATTAATAATAAAGGTGCATATAAAAGATATAATATTTTTTTTTTTTGTCTGATGACTAGGAGAATCACCAAATGTTGTGAAGAGATAGATAATATCCTTTCACTTTTAATCAGAAGTTTCAAATTCAAATTTTGAACATATAAAATTTTTGTTAGGAAATACTTTTTCTTTTAGTATGTCATGACATTTGAATTAATTGTTTTAATATTGATATCAAACATCGAGTGAGAAACTAAAAAAAGCTAGGAGAGAATTTTGCCCTTATTGATAGGTGAGAAGACAATGGAGAATTGATTCCTTCCATAGTTTAAAAAAGAGGTATATATATATATATATATATATATATATATAACATAATCTCAATCATAACTATATAAAAATCATATAAATACTTTTTTTTTTGCTTTGATAGTGATAGATATAATTAAAAAATAGGATATATTTTAAACATAATTGAATGAAACAAGGAAAACACAAAAATAAGAGGAAAAAGAAAACAATTACTATTGTCCAAATTCATACAAATTGTGACCAAACATCTTAAAGCACTTTTGGTTCAAAGTCATTGATTATTTTTTTTCAAAAAAATTTACATATTAGTCTTTATATATTTAATTTTTGTACATTTCAATCCTCAATTAAGTGATATGTATATTTGATCCAGTAGGAAATAAGATAATATTAGATGAACTATTTTATTGGCTTCATTAGATTGCTTTGACTCTTCCTAATTAGTAGAATTGTTCACGTCAAAATAAAAAGTCGATTCTAACCTATTTTAAAAAAAATATACATATTAGTCTTTATATATTTAATTTTTGTACATTTCAATCCTCACTTTTTTTTGCAGGATAATGATATCAATATACCTTTCGAAACACAAATGATCATTTTTCTAAGCAATTAAAAATACATTAACGATTCTACTAAATGTTAATTAAAATAAGCAGTATACAAATGTTAGTAAAAGAAACAAACACCACTGAGGTAAAATTCTTTTTCATTTTAATAAAAGGAATTAAATGAATATCATACTTAATTAAAAGTAAGGAACTATAAAAAAAAAATGTGATATAAGGGGTATGATTCTCACATGGTAGTAATCTAATTAAAGATTTTGATTCCAGTAGGAATAACTATGATCATAATAATGGTAGTAAAGTAAGCGTGGATGTCAACGCTTAAGTCGATGCCTTTAACATGAAATATAAATAGCTTATATACAAAGCTAGTTTTTCCTTTCAAGCTTCTTGATATTGAATTTGTTTTCTATTGAACTAAACATGAATTGAATTCTATTCAAGTTATTTATTCTTAATTTTTTTAATCGTAAGTTGATATAATAATTTGTCATATAATTCAACACCTTAATAAAAAATTCAACTATTATATCTGAATTTTTAATCTCATCAATATTAACATACCCCTACGTTTCTACATTAGAGCGATTATTTTTAAAAAAAAACACATTTAATCATACAAAAATAAGTTGAAATTATGATAAAAGAAAATAACATTACTAAGTAAAACATTTTTTATTTTAATAAAAAAATTAACTACGTAAAAGTTTGTCACTGCTGAATCAATAGTTTATCGTATGATAATGACTCATTATCATATTAAGATTTACTAATTCTCGTCATTTCATTATCATGTTACAAGTGAAGTTTCTAATTTCACTATTACTAATACATTCCGAATTTAGAATAATTACCAAGAAAATATTTTTGACCATATCAAAATTATGAACTTTTTTTTTTCCTCTTCAAATTCAATTCAAAAAGCAATAAGGAATCATCATCTCTGTCACAAACCCCTAACTCGTCCAAGACGTCAGTGGACCGGTCATTCTTCTTGAAAACCCAAAAGGGTATTTGTATATGATGAAACCCCACCTGGGTTTTTGCTAAATCTTCAAAGGGTTCTTTCAATTCTTGAAAAAAGGGTGAATTTTTCAGTTTTTTTTCAATATTTTTGCTGTTGTTTGGGTTGTTGAGGTAAAGTTTTCCGGCAAGAATCTTTAAAAATGGCCACCGCCGGCGACCTTAGGAGTGTTAGAGGTATCATTTGTGAAGCTGGTGCTGGTGCTTCTGCAGGTATGTACTGGCCACCTTTTTTTCCTTTTTAATTTAATTTGTCAATTGTTGTTATCTGGGGTTTTAATGTTAAAGAAGGTAAGAGATTTATTCATTGTGTTGCTTTTTGATCTTTGAGTTTTTTGAGCTATTTGAATGTGATTTTTAGTTAATTGGGGGTTGTAAAAATCTTTGCTTTTGTATCTTTGGGTGGTTTTTTTAGGTGCTAGTGCTGCTACATTTATGTGTACATTGGATCTTTGAGTTTTTTGAGCAGTTTGAATGTGAATTTGAGTTAATTGGGTAGTGTGAGGTGCTATTGCTGCTATATTTGTGTGTACATTGGATCTTTGAGGTTTTTGAGCCATTTGAATGTGAATTTGAGTTAATTGGGGGTTGTAAAAATCTAAGCTTTTGTATCTTTGGATGCTCTTTTAGGTGCTATTGCTGCTATATTTGTGTGTTCATTGGATCTTTGAGGTTTTTGAGCTATTTGAATGTGAATTTGAGTTAATTGGGGGTTGTAAAAATCTAAGCTTTTGTATCTTTGGATGTTCTTTTAGGTTCGATTGCTGCTACATTTATGTGTCCATTGGATCTTTGAGTTTTTTGAATGTGAATTTGAGTTAATTGGGTGTTTTTGTAGGTGCTATTGCTGCTACATTTATGTGTCCATTGGATGTTATTAAGACAAGACTGCAAGTACATGGTCTGCCTCAGGTTTCTCAATCTGGTCGTCAAGGTTTGTGCTCGTCGTTGTCTCTTATATTAGAAATGATAAGAACTGCTACCTTAAGTCTAAGTGCTTCCAATTGAACAAATGCAAAAATGATATATTAAGATTAATGTGATCTTGTAATTGAATTATTTCATTGCTCTAGTAATGATCTGTAGATCCCTTATTACACGTCAATGGTGTCCTATATATAACAGATAAGAACACTTCTTATTCACAACTTAACAACCACGAGAATTCCTGTTTGCCTTTTGTGTGAGCAAAACACCACTCAGATCAACATATCTGAAAATTTAAAGACAACTTTTACCCTTATTTTACAACAGTACAATGGATTCGAAGTTTTCCAGTTCTAGTATATCTCTGGTAAAAGAAGTCTGGCTGTTGCTTTAAATTCTTACCAATCTTCTCAGGCAAAGTAGAAGTATTAGCTATTCTGATCGACTGCTCCTTATAATTTATTTATCTATGTGTTCTTCTAAATTCTTTAAGTAAGGTATTTGTTAGCATAAAACTAAGGGTGCTGTACAGTAGAATTATACAATTACCACGTCCGAACAAAGGTGTGACTACAAAACATATATCCAACCAATATACACTGGTTGGATCTTTTTTGAGCTCCAAAATAGCAACAAAAACAATATGCATTGTGGATTTAGGAATTTTCTCGTCTTGGATGCTTAATTATCTCACAAAACTGCACCTTAGTGCATGAAGAGCTATTTTGTTGTATTTTTTCTCTGTCATCGTCTTCCTTTTTTTGAGACAAGGGTAACTTTGTATTCACACCAAAAATTCATCATCCAAAAAATGATGAATTGGAAACTTACATCCCACCCATGGGTATACTTTACAAGTTTCCTATAAAATAAACTAAATCTACTATATCCCCTACAAGATTCTGTTTACACCAAAAAAAAAAAAATCTTCAGCTTTCACCTTAGATAGGCTGCCCATTGGGCTTCTGTTTCCTCCAATTTCCATTTTCTCCAGTGTAGGATGTCCAATTTGTTGCTTTCGGTGCTTTCCTTGTATTTCTGCTTTCCACATTTGATGTAGTCATTTCCTAAATGGACTTCCACATTCTGTACATTGTGCACTCTGATCTCATCGCATCTCTGTGAAAAATTTCCTTTGACAGTGAGTATAATTTGGTGAGTTTTAGAGGAAAGTTGCTGTCAACTCTTTCATGAAGGTCTCTAAGGCTAGTTCTGTTTTCTTCTTAATTTAAACAAGTTTTAATTTGAGGAGCTGATAATTGGTCTTTCATCTTGTTCCTTCTTTGGATTAATATATTGTTTTTTTGGTCTTCTTGTTAAACCTATTAAGATCAATGGTAACCTTAGAAAAAGAGGCAAAGAATAAAGAGAAGTTCAAATCCATATTACTGGCACACTTATTTTTCCTTGAATTATTTGGGCAACAACAGGTAGTGTCATTGTTACCAGCTTACAGAATATACTAAGAACAGAAGGTTTCAGGGGACTTTATCGAGGCCTTTCACCAACATTGACAGCTCTTCTTCCGAACTGGGCGGTAAACATTGTCTTGTTCATTTTCTGCTTCTGTGGATTGCAATTAGTTGAACTTCCTTCATGAAATGAATCATCAAAATTGAATGAGATAATATTCAAATATGGTCTCTTATGGAACTGCATATTCTTTCTTATTAAATAATGCAATGATTAGGGTTTCCTTGCACACCACCAAAAACGTGTTCTTATTGCTGATGAAGAATCAAAATGAATAAGGCTTTCCTTTTGGGCGGGGGGAGGTGTTGCTTGTATTGAACTCCTGGATAGCTTTTTTATGGAAGTAAAAAGTTGATTTACCAGTGTTAGTTGTAATCTTATCGGCTTTGTTTACGACTGACTCCATGTTGGCATATATTTTCTATGCATGCTGAATCCACCCACCTTTTTTTTCTTCTGAAATTTCCACAAGTAACCGTTTTGAGAAAAAACATTCACATCTTCTGCAGGTGTACTTTACAGTTTATCGACATCTCAAGGATTCGTTGCATTCACATGGTAAACTTTTACTCTATTAGTTATTTGGACTATTAGCTTTCATCACTTCTTTTTTAAATGTTTGCTTGAATGCCATCATATTTTTTAATCCTTTACTATTTGGAACTTGTTATGAAGACAATAGGAAACTTAGCACTTATCTTTACCAAAAGAATTTTCTTGTGCGGTAAATGCAGTGGATAGCAGTGGGGAGCTTACAATTGGTGCAAACATGCTTGCAGCTGCGGGAGCGGGGGCTGCAACATCCATTACAACAAATCCATTGTGGGTTGTTAAGACCCGGCTCCAAGTAGGTTTCATGTTATCATATAGTTAGCGTTGATTTATTCTTCTGTGCTCACTTGTTGTGCCTTAAAGTGCATAAATGCACAGAAATATAATAGAATACCAATTTGATTAAGTTGGCTCCTTCAATTTGGGTAATCGGTGTTGTTGGTAGGGAGCCATGATCCATGCACTTTCATTTTTCTATATATTTCCTTGCACTGCTCTAGTTTCTTCAGTCTTTATCACTGTGCTATTATTGTATACATGTATGCTTTCCTTCATCAACTATCATCAGAGAGAAGGATGGGAATAGGTGAAATGCAATCTTTTACCTTGTGGGGGCTTAAATGTGGAGTATCAGAAATTTCTTTTATGTTGGTGGCATCCAAGTTAGCTTGTGCGTAACTCGACTATTTTACTGGGTACTTGCTATCTCTCACCAGCATATGTATCATGTAGCTCTGCCAACTAGGCCTAGTCACCTAGACAGATGGAAAGAGATCACCTAGTGTTTCTTGCCTTCGTTGGTATTGGAGTATTAGAGTTTCGACTGTCTGTATCTAAGCCTGTTAATATAGTTAGGATTATGCTGCTCTATAGCTAGTGAAAGAAAAATTCCTCTGGTTTCTCTGTCCTCCCCCTTACCAAAAAGGAGTTTCTCATGTGCACATGTAGCATGTTCACTTTTCTATCATGTGCTGAGAACCTTCGATATAGTATTCATCATGTGGGTGATACCTGAACAGATGACAAACTTTAATAGAAGATATTTTTAGACTTCAAGAATTCTTAATAGAGAGAAGAATGCAGATTTCACATAGTTTAGAAATCTTGAGAGATGCATTAACCCCTCCAACCGATGCATGGGTAGTAGAAAAGTTGACTTGGGGCATTTGACTGGAATCACATCCAATAAGCAGCATAGGGGAGAGAAATTCTAAAATTTTGTGAGGGTAGGTAACCCTTCATGGACATTTTCAGAATTCCCATGTTTTTTTTTCCCTCTTCTCAAGGGAGAAGTCTCTTCTGAGTTAGTTGATCCAGTCCAGTTGAGGTTTGACACTCGAGGGAGCATGGGCCTGCCCCTCTACCCTCCTCTCACTTAAATGTTAGGCTTTAGTTCTTGGCAGGGTTCAAACTTGTTACCCAATTACGCATCCTGTGTTGTGCTTCTTTTGTTGTTGAATCAAAATGTTGGGACAAAGGATATATCATCTTGTTGGATTCCTTTTGTAATTATGTCTTAGCACATTTCATGCTATATATATAATACTTACCTTCTTTCAAAAAAGGATATACACATCTTGTGGATAGTTGATTTGAGTTTGTGGACATTTGGGATAGGTCCATACCTGGATAGCTACAACATGTAGGTGAATTATCAATGAAATGTTTCGACTTATCAAAAAAGTGTTCTTGTTTGATAATTGGTGTCTGGTGCAACTGCAGCTTGCTGTATTTTTAGCAACTGAAATTGGTGTAACAACGGTAAATAGTTCTAATTAGTACTAACGCCACGAGAACTGGAGATGCTTCTTCACTAAAATGAATCAGAATCCAAACTTTTATGTGTTAATTTAGTCATGTTCACGTTTTCTTTAGATTCAATATTTGCTAAGAGTCTGTCTTCTAAGAGTTTTATATTCCAGGAAAAAATGTTGATAATTTCTGCTGCTAGAGAAACTATTTTTTTTCTTTCTAAAATTGGTGATCCACTTAAATGGACCCACATAAATTGTAAGGATTCTCATACCTGATCCCGATTTGTTTGGAATTGAGGCGTAATTGTAGTACCCATTGGTGTAAGCATCTGCACATGGTGCCGATACAGTTGTCATCCTAGTTCAACATAAGTGTGTTAAGAGTTCACGTAACATAGGCTAAAGCACAAGTTTCTACTACCATTAGAGTTTATTGTTAGGGTGTCCTTAATTAGTATTGGAATAACAACTTGCATTTACTTATGTAGCGTGTTCCTGATATTTTCTTTTCCTCATTCTTTAGACACAGGGAATGAGGGAGGGTGTAGTTCCTTATAAAGGTATAATGTCTGCTTTAATACGAATAACACATGAAGAAGGGATCCGCGGATTGTACAGGTTAGTTATATAGTGTAGATAGTCATATACAAACTTTTTACTTATGTGTGTTTCATCCTTTGTAGAGACGCTTCAGTTCCATATCCTCTTAACCAACTATGCGAAGATGGAAAACATCTTCTTAGGATAATAAACAATTACTCTTGTCCAAAAATAGAAAAAACAGTATCCATTTTCATCACCTGATGTTGACTCTAGTTAGTTATTTTGGGTTTGATATCTCCGTTTGCTTTGGGTTGCAGTGGCCTCTTGCCGTCATTGGCTGGGATTAGTCATGTTGCTATCCAATTTCCAGCATATGAAAAGCTGAAATCATACTTAGCAAAAAGGGGTGAGAAGCTTTTCTCTTTTATCAGTTGCGGAAGTTTGTTTCTCATTTATCTCTTATCTGATTGATCACGTGATGTCTTTCTCGAACTGCCAGCCAATAAGCATACCAATGAACTGAACCCTGGTGAAGTAGCAATTGCCTCTTCGATGGCAAAAGTAGTTGCCTCTGTAATGACTTATCCACATGAGGTAAGCAGGAAATGGACCAGGACCATCTTTGTTCTTTCCTGGAATCACAGTCCTACTTATTAATCTATCGTTCTTGACCAGGTCGTGCGTTCTAAACTTCAAGAACAAGGGCAAGTAAGAAACTCAGAGAAAGCATATAATGGGGTTGTTGATTGTGTAAAAAAGATGTTCAAACAGGAACGTCTGACCGCATTCTACCGGGGTTGTGGAACCAATCTTCTAAGGACCACACCCTCTGCTGTTATTACATTTACCAGTTATGAAATGATCCACAGAATACTTCAACGAGCTATACTTCCAGAAGAGGATTCAGAACCACATCCTAGACGTAAATCCCTTAAGGTAGCCGAAGAACATGGAGACAATGACGAAAAACTACAACAATCAGAAAGCACATCGAATAAGAGAACTCCTTTAATTCCATTGAGCAACTCTGATAATCTAACTGCTAGGCATTGATTAGAGATGTTTTTCTTTTTCTTTTTTCGTCGTGGAAGCAATTTGCAACAAGTGTTTGCTGTTGCACAATTTTTTCTTTTGTAACTTACTATTTGAGTGAAGGAAGTCTTATATTTCGATCTAATAAAGAAGGGCGCGGATAGTTTCCATTCTTCAACATCCTTGATTATTTGTTCTACTGCATCTTTCTCTTTGTGGGATTACGCTAGATATGTTGTTGTTGCTGCAGCATCTTTCTTTTTGTTAAAAATAGTGACAGGTGAAGGCTCCAAAACTGGGGTCCCTTTTTTTCACCTGGTAAAATAATTGTCTAATTCTTGATTATTGACCCATTCTTGGATGCAATTTCTAATAAAGGATTTGTCTGCAGACAATTAATTGCAGGCCAATTCTTGGTGGAAAAAGAATTAGTCATAGTTTGAAATCCCATCTTATGAACTTTCTTGACAGCCATAATATTTCCAAATCATTAATGAAAAAACGAAAACAAAAAGTCCTACTAGTATAGGTATTCGGTAACTATGTTAATCAACAGTTATGGAAGAAATCACCTAGCGTTTTTTGTCTCTATTGAAATGTGAATTTCCATGATTTTCACTTCATTAACCATTAGGCTACATGGTTGATGCTAGCTAACATGTATTGGTGTTGGCTTCAAAGAGAGATTGCATAAATTGTGCATAATTGTTCGTATGTTATAATTCACCAAAAGTAGCAAAGACATATTTAAAGCCAGGATAATCCATAGAGAAAATTTTCAAAAATGCTCACAAGTGTGTGCGGATCTTCTAGAAGTAGTGCATTTTTGGAGGATCAGACACACGTGCAACAACATTTTAGGAGAATCTGAGCAACATAGTCTAAAGGGGAATCATATACATATGTGACTATAACTAACACTTTAAGAAAGCTTCATCTACTATATTCATGAACAGGCTGAAACAAGCTGAAAAAACTCTATAAAAATGATATCATGATATGTATCTAACATAAAGGGGAAAAATGAGTTTATGAAATATCACCCTCCAGTACTAGTTGTAGTGGAACTACTAGCCCATGTATCAATCACAGTATCAGGTGAAGCTGGAATGTTTTTCTTCAATAACACAGCATCATCCGTTTCAGAAGGATGACGATGAACTTTTACAGTTCTTGTCTTGGTATTGCAGCTATTGATATCCTTTTTCTGATAATTTTTCCATTCACTGTATTTGATAAGCTTCAACGCTTCGTGTACTTCTTCCATTGTAGGTCTCATGTCCTTGACAACTTGCAAGCACTGGAAAGCTAGTTCTGCCACTGATGTTGTCATCCTCCTAACTTCAGCATCTGTCTCGAATCCAAGAGATGGATCAATCACCTCATCAAATGCGGATTTTAGTATCCTGTTCATCGCGTAGTTTGCCAAATTAATCTCGTGCATATGTCTGTTCATATCTACAGCTTGCTTTGATGATATGAGCTCAACAAGGACAACCCCAAAGCTATAAACATCACTCTTATCAGTAAGGTGGTAACATTCATGATACTGAGGATCAACATATCCCGGGGTCCCCTGAGGTGCGGTTGAGATATGAGTAACATCATTAGGGAAGGATTTTGACAGCCCGAAATCTGCTACTTTGACACAAAACTTATTGTCCAGGAGAATGTTATTTGTTTTGACATCACGGTGTATGATGTCAGAAGCATGAAGGTAAGCCAACGCGCTAGCAGTTTCAATGGCGATTTTGAGCCTTATAGACCATGTTAGTAACTTATCCTTCGCTCTATGTCCATTCAGGTGATCAGCAATTGTTCCATTAGGAATGTACTCATAAACAAGGAAGAGTTCACGGCTACGTCTTGATGCACATCCATAAAGGGTAACAAGATTCGGATGCCTAAGGCGAGTGAGAATTTCAATTTCGTTGATAAACTGCTCCATTTGTCTGTGATTGTTCTCATAAAGTCTCTTAACTGCAACTTCTTTTCCATCTTTAAGTTTTCCTGATTTTAGAACATACAGAAATAGCTGTTAGATCAAGATGCTTACTACGTACATTTCCCCTCGAAAAGCAAAACAAACAAAAAAGACTTTTGTGGATTGTCTTTAGATTATTACTCCCTCCGTTTCAATTTGTTTGTCTTACTCTCCTTTTTAGTCAGTGTCAGAAAGAATGCATCTTCTTTTTTTGGCAGCTCTTTAATACTAACTTTTCACATGACATGTTTAAGACCACAAGATCAAAGAACGTTTTGGTACATTCTACATACCACAAGACTCACAAGTTTTCTTTACTTTCTTAAACTCCGTGTCAAGTCAAAACCAGAAAAACAAATTGAAACGGAGGGAGTAACTTCTATGAAAAAAGCTTTCTTACCATAGTACACAGTTCCATAACCTCCATCACCAAGTTCTCTAGAAGAGCTGAATTTGTTGGTGGCTTCTTCAAGTTCTTCATAGGAGAATACAGGAATCCCTAGGTACTCACAACGTTCCTCGAGCTCGTGATGAATCATTGAAATACCAGATGTATTTCTTGAAATAAATGGTGAAGAACCATTTCTCCTCCTCATGTAAAACCATAGAACACAGGCAATTGCACAAAGTCCAACAACAGAACCGATAAATACTGAAACTGAAACAAAAAACAATAACAACCGATCAACGGACAAAACATGGACTAAAGTTAAATATTTTAGATTCTTTATATCTTTGTTATTGATAAGGGGAGCCTTGACATAACAATAAGAGTTTCCTTCATATGACCAAGGAGATCACAGGCTCAAGCGGTGGAAAACGCTACTTCTTGTTATATCATACTCATTGTAGAAATAAACCTTTAAAGGCTAAAATCTTGTAATGTAAACAACAAAATTGCAGACAAAATGTTAAAAAGATAGGTACCTGCAACAATCACTTTCGCAAATTTATGACCACCTGCAATCACAGTAAAAATGAAAATGTAAGATGAACCAAGAAAAGAAAAGAACCAAAATCTTTAGTATGAATCATGAAAAAATCTTCTCTTTACCATTGGTATCAGAACAAAGAAATCTATTAGTAGCATTATCTGTTTGACACCTTCCTCCGGTATAATAACACTGATTGCACTCATCAGACACAGTCCATCCTAGCATAACTTCATCAGTTAACAGATGAAATAAGCCACTTCCATTTGTTTTTGCTTCTGAATTTGATGTCAAAGGCAACTGAATAAATGAACAGCTACTAGGAATTTCAGATACTTGATAATAATGGATGGAGATGTTATAGTATAATATGAAACTATCACAGACATTGTAACTTTGATAACTGCTGGAGTTGAAAAATTCTTCATTTCTACTCTTTTGGTTTCTGTTGCATTTGAACAAAGTGAGTAAGGGATCAAATCTATATGTTATTGAAGGAGAAATAGCGATCGAGAAATTTTTATCAAAAGTCTCACAACTGTTCTTCTTCAAAAGTTCTCCAAGACTAGTGTCCTTAAGTCTGATAAAAACATCAGCTTTTAAAAGAGCTTGATATTTCACCCCTTCTAATTCAATAATAGGATTTGGACTAACATCACAATCAACTTTGGACAATCCACAATCAAGTTCAGTGGATTTGTAGAAAGGAAAACTCAAATTTCTTAAGTTCCCACACTGGAATTCTTTAGTGCAGTTTGGGTAGGATGTGTTCTGTCCTTGAGCTGAATCAAAGCACCAAAAGTGAAACAAAACGAAGACGAAAAAACAAGAGAACATATCCATGATGAACCCTTTTGGATTAAATAAACAACAAGAATAAGCAAGAATGTTAGTTAAAAGAAAAAAACTGAATTCTGCAGAGTTTGTTTTATTGTTTTTTTGGATTTATTTGGCAATGGGATTGCATTAATGTTGTTTATCTTTTGGACACGTTAAGTTGACTCAGACATGGGGAAACAAGACTTTGAAGAAAGACAATTTGATGGAAGATTGGCCAAATGGGGTATGGGACCTTTGTGACTTTTACAACATGGGGAATTTTCAATTCACCTTCCTTACCTTCATTAATGGTTCAAAGACAAGCTTTTCTTCGAGCATCCGAAACTTACTGATCCGACTAATTCAGATTCATGTCAAGTAAGCTCGTTAAGGAAGGTAAATTGTTCCTTATCAAGAAGTTCTCTTTTTTCAAGATTCGAGCTTGAGACATTCAATTAAAGATAGACGGTTCAACTATCCTACCCCACTCTTTTTAAAAAGTGGGTAATTTTCTATTCACCTTCCTTCCATTTATTAGTGGTTCAAAGAGGTATCTGATGTCCCAAACTCACTAATCTGACTAATTTAGATTCACGTCATGTAAGCTCTATAAGGAAGGTAAATTGTTCCTTATCTAGAGGTTTTCTTTTCTCAAGACTCGAACATGAGATATTTGGTTCCGACTTATTAATGGTTCAACGAGCTATCTGATGTCCAAAACTTACTGATTCAACTAATTCAGATTCATGTCTAAGTCCGTTAAGGAAGGCAAACATTACTTTTCAAGAGGTTCTCTTTTTTCAAGACTCAAACTCAAAATATCTAATTAAAGATAGACGGTTCTCGACCTAGTTTTAAAATATGACTCTTTCTTATAAAATAGACATGTCAAATCATTCCTTCCACATATTAGATGACCCCATAAAGAAGTTAGGAAAAAATGAGTACCCTCTATTAAAAGTTGAAAAGGACACTGCATAATAAGTCTTTTCACTTTTGTCTCTTTTTGGTATAAAAAATATTTTTTTTAATTTTGTTTTTTTCAGTCTCTTTGGGTGAAGCATGCCATATTGGACAAAAATTAAGAAAATCATATAATATACTCAAGATTCCCTTATATGACCACAAGTTCTTGTAGGTTTTTTTCAGAATTTTTTTTCTAACCAAAAGATTCTGTTTAATGTGGTTTACTGCTACTTTGGTAATATTAAACTTGCATTTTTAGTTTGAAATTTTCTTTCAATTATTTTTTAAACCAAACTCAATAAATTTATTCAAATTACTTCTAAAATGTGGTAATTGAGTCAATTAATGAGATGGAATTCTTAAGACCAGTCTAAATCTAGAATTGTGGAGTTCTTAAACATCATAATTATATGGTTATCTTTCTGACTCTCATTATTACTTTTGTTGTTGGTCTTTGGTCATTATAATTTTTGTAGTGAAGCCAATTAAGGAGAAAATGTAGCCTCCACTACTTTGTATCGTGGCGGATCTAGGGGAGTTAGGGGATTCACGCTTTTGAAAATGACACAATATTTATGAGGTTAAAACTATCCTTTTACGGATAGGTTATAGTAGATGTTGAATCTCCTTGACTTCTTCATGTGTTTACTTCTTTATATTTTGAATCCCTGAATATCTTGATTCGGCTACTTAATATGTTTAGTGTAAATCCAAACTCTAGAATTGTATTTGGTGTGCCTCATTTTCAACAATTGCATAAGACCTATCTATTGCTATTCATAAAGAAATGGAAGGTATGGTGCTTTTTGAATGAGCTACCTCAGAACAGGAAATATTTTTACATATGTTGAATGTTGTCTTTAGAACGGACCATATAAATAGAGGTGATGTATGCATAGTCATTCTAGACAGTGGCGGAGCTACAGTTTGACTTACAGATTCAGCAGAACTTTTGAATTTCCCGGTCCAACCTATAATGGATGGAAACACTGGCTTGATGAAGACTAGAAATAGCTAAATCGACTGCTCCTCTAGAATGGTAAGTAATACCACTTAAGGGTGGATAGACCATTCACTCAGTGCCACTAGCAACTTCTACTACAGCCGGTCTTAATAAGAGCAAGAGACTTGGAGGCGACAACTAGGACGAAACGAGCATGAAACAAGTACCCAATAATGCTCAGTTAATGTTATGACTTGGCTCAATTTTCTGTGTATTTTTGTTTATCTACATGAACTATGAAACAAAAAAAAAAAAAGATGAATATTATGTACTAGTGGTGCTTGTGCTAGAGTCACTAATCCACACTTGAGTTACTGAAATTGGTGAAGTTGGAAACTTGTTGAGTTTCTTCAATAATACATCTACTTCTGATTCAGGTGAAAGAGGGACTTGGACACTCTCTTTAGTGTTTCCGTCACAATCGATTTTCTTATCATGTGTAAACTCACCATGCTGAATTTCTTGCAATGTTTCTAGTACTTCAACCATAGTAGGTCTCATGTCCTTGTCATGTTGCAAGCATCTAAACGATATCTCGGCTACTGAAGTAGTCATCCTCCTAACTTCTGCATCAGACTGAAAACCGAGGGACGGGTCTATCAGCTCATTGAATGCACACCTTAAAATCCTGTTTATTGCATAGTTAGATAAGTTGATCTCTTCGTTACGTCTACTGAAGTCTACTGCAGGCATGGATGATAACAGCTCAACAAGGACTACCCCAAAGCTATAAACATCACTTTTATCAGTAAGCTGGTAACATTCGTGGTACTTTGGATCGACATAGCCAGGGGTACCTTGAGGTGCAGTTGATATGTGAGAAATATCAGTTGGATGAAGTCTTGAAAGTCCAAAATCTCCAACTTTGACACAGAAGTTTTGATCAAGTAGTATGTTGTTACTCTTCACATCGCGGTGGATTATATCAGAAGCATGCAGATATGCTAGAGCAGTGGCAGCTTCAATAGCAATTTTCATGCGGATAGGCCACGTGAGTGAACCATCCTTCGCCTTATGACCGTGTAAGTGATCAGCAATCGTTCCATTTGGGACATACTCATAAACAAGTAAGAGTTGATCGCTGAGTTTAGACGTGCAGCCATAAAGAGTGACAAGATTTTTGTGCCTTAACCTTGTTAGAATTTCAATCTCAGTTACAAACTGCTCCTTTCTCCTAGCATTGTGGTCGTAGAGGCGTTTTACTGCAACTTCTCTTCCATCCTGAAGTTTCCCTAGTTTGTAGCATACAAGAATTAGAATAAACGAAAATGAAGAAAGTGATGGCTAGACATCTGCATTGTCAAAAGTTTCTTACCATAGTACACTGTTCCATATCCTCCATCCCCGAGCTCTCTGGATGAATCGAAATTCATGGTAGCTTGTTGAAGTTCAGCATAAGAGAAGACGGGAACCCCAAAGAACCCGCTGTCTAATTCGTAGCTTTGTGTTGAGGGCTCTGAAGGGGTGCTTCTTGGAAGAACATTAGTAAAACTTCTATTACCCTTCTTGCAACAGCAGATTATATTGATCACTATGCTGATTGCTATTATAAGCATTCCACCAAGCACTGCAGAGCAGATGAGATATTAAACAGGTTACATTTTACTCAATGTTGCTCAGACTCTCCCAAAATGCTCTCGTACACGTGTCAGACCCTCCAAAAATTCACTACTTTTCGAGGATCCGCCATGAACCTGACAACATTTTTGAAGAGTCCGAGCAACATAGAGTTGCAAATAAAAGTTATGGCATAGTATTAGCCTCAGCTAACAAGTAAGCACTCCGACTTTGAGAGTACACATCTAGACACCTCAGCTTAGTCTCAACTGACAACTAAACACTCCAAACTCATCCTCACTATATCTCATGGACACCTGATGTTGACGTGACACATAAATTCAGGAGGTGTTCAGATGATCATTTTGATAGTTGGAATGTTCAACTAACACAATGAACACAAGTTAAAATGACTAGATGTGCAAAAATACTCAAAGTTGGAATGTTTACTTGCCGGTTGAGATCAAGTTTCGAGTGTCTATTCCTGCATTATGCTAAAAGTTATTGATTATAGTCAAGTACCTGAGCCTAGAATCAATCCCAAATTCTTTTTTGCTGCTGCAAAACACACAAATGACAGTTCAATCAGTCACAATAAGACTGAAATAAATGCACATTCATCCACATTAACATACTAAAGAAAGCAACAAATACCTTTGGAACAAAAGAAGTTATTTTTGCTGTCACTTTGACATTGTCCTTCTCTATAAAAACACTTAGAACAATCTTTAGAAACTTCCCAATCCAATGTGAAATTAGAACTCAACAACTCAAACAAATCAGATGGAACTGGTACTGAAGTTGGAATATACTTCAAAGGTAATCGAATAATCGAGCAGTTTGCAGGAAGATCATCCTCATCAACTGGAATACTATAGTTTCTATGATCTGTTCTTGGTTTATGATAGTACAAGTTAAATCCATCACAATTCAAGTACTTCTCATAACGTCGAAAATAACCATCTATCTCCTCATTACTACTAGTACTACTACTACCATTCATACATTTGAACAAAGTGATATTGTTGAATACACCAAATGAAACAGAAGGTGTATTAGGAAAAGATAAGTTCCTTTCAAAGGATTTGCAACTTCTATTAGATAAATAACCTTCAAGAATCGAGTCCGAAAGATCGATACCATCAACCCATAGCCACTTCTTGTAAGCATTGTATGTTACTCCTTCAATCTCAACTTTTGGATATTGAAAAGTGTTGTTACAATCAATCTTTGATAATCCACAATATGGTTTATTGAATTCTGAAAAAGGATAACTCATGCTACCAAGTCTTCCACAATTGAACTCTTTCGGACAAGATAATTTACTCTCAACTTCAACTAAATTGAATATAACAACATGAAACATAAAGAACATAGCAAAAAAAAGGGCTAAAGCCATAAGTCTAACTCTAAAAAACTTCAACCAAGTATAACATACATAAGTAGAAAAAGTTATTATGAGACAAAATATTAGTATTACCAAAAATGTTCTTTAGTTCACTCTCAATCCATTTTATACTATAGTTTGGACTTTCTTGGGAAAAAAAATGACAAAAATGGTCCATTATGTTTAGGGGTATGTTCAATTTAGTCCCTTAAGTATCTTCTAAGCAAGTTTTGGTCCTTTAAGTTTGTCAAATTAGACACTTTTAGTCCTCAGCCAAATATTTAGCAAACTCTACTGGTTAGACGTAGTCAAATTAGATACATTTAGACCTACGCTAAATATTTAGTAAACTCTACCAGTTAGATGTAACGAAAATCATGAAAAAGAAAGATTTAACCAGAAACATCAGAAAAATCTCAGAGCACTCCTAATCTGAGTTCTTTTTTCATAATTTATGTATAACCAAACATGTAGAGTTTGTTAAATATTTGAAGGAGGACTAAAAGGTGCTCGTTTTTAGGCAAACTTAAAAGACGGAACTAAGGGCTAGTTTGAACCTACTTCGAAACATAAAGGACTATTTTTGTTATTTCCAAGACTTTGTTATCGTATCTTGTACCAATAATTCAATTGACAAGCACTAAGATTATAAAAACAAAATGGTAGGGACCATTAAGTTTGCAAGTGGAAATATGAAAATGAATTTTTTTGAGTATTTTGCTTACCAACTTTTCATTGACTGTAACTTTAGCCGAATTAAGAGACTTTCAATATAATTTGACTATTAAAAAAATAATCATATATTTAATAATTAATCTAGAAAAAAAAAATACTTTTTGAATTAGTCTATGCCTGGGTTTCTACTCCATTGTACTTTTCTGACAACAAGTGGTGACAGCTAATATTATTAAAATGCATTTTGCTTAAGACTATTTTTACGTGACACCGTTTGACTAATGTGAAGTTTGAGAAAAAAAAGTAAACTTTTAAAATTTATGGTTTAAAACAAGCTTTAGACTCATTTTATTAAGGATAAAAGGTAATTTTAAATTTGAGTTATGTCTAATTATAGAAAGGCGATTTTTTTTAGATAGATCAAAAAAAAAAGTGTGTAACGTAAATTGGGACAGAGGGATTAGTGTACTTTGAGAGCAAACTTCTTTGATGTGATCTCTTAAGACTAAACCATTGAACAAAAGCAAAGACAAAGACAATATATTTGTTTAATTAAAAAAATATATTTGTTTAATTTTAATAAAATAAATGAATATAGAAATGGAATATTCTTTTTTTGTTTTTGTCTTCTTTTTTTCGGCAGGTCAACTATTGGCTAAAGCTAGAACATGGACTATAGAGGTTCATCCATTTGAAGTTGGAGTTAGGAAAAAGTCGATTTTACCCTTAATCCTAGTGGAGCTCTAACTTGAGAATAATTTTTAAACTATAGTCAAAAGTTGAAGGGCAAATTTGGACTTTTTTTCTCAAAGAATTTGGACATGTGAAGTTCATCTATTTTAAGTTAGAGCTTCGTTAATATACAAGGGCAAATATGAGACGATTTGGTAACGATAAAATATGAATGGATCGAAAGTGTAATTGAATCACTTTCACTCATAGATACAAAAACCTTTATCATAAAATAAAATAAAAAAAGACAAAAAGAGTAACCGTTTATAACACACATGTGATATAACAAGATAGAATTAAAGTTAGATATACTAAGATACATAAAACCTATTACCTATGTTGCGCAGACTCTCCAAAAAATTTGTTGCACCCGAGTTGGATTCTTCAAAATTCACTACTTATGGAGTATCCGACACACCAGAGGATATTTTCGAAGAGTCGGAGCAACAACATAGCAAGAAACTTCTCACAGTAGCAACAACACTGCTACTACTTTGTATTAGCTATAGTACTAGAGCAAGTAGTCCATTTATCAGTCACAGAATTTGGTGAAGGCTGTGATTTAACTTGATTCAGCAATAACTTAGCTCTCTTCTCATTGTCAAATTCACTAGTCTGAATCTCTTTTAGAGTATCCAAAACTTCAGCCATAGTAGGCCTCATGTCCCTATCTGTCTGTAAGCATAAAAAAGCCAACTCTGCAACTGAACTAGTCATTTCCCAAATCTTGGAATCTGAATCGAACCCCAGGGATGGATCGATCAACTCGTTGAATGCACATTTTACAATCTTGTTTATAGCAAAGTTAGCTAAATTGATCTCTTGACTATGCCTCTTCATATCCACAGCTGGCATTGATGAAATGAGTTCAACAAGGACCACCCCGAAGCTATAAACATCACTTTTTATGGTCAGCTGGTAACATTCGTGATACTTTGGATCGATATAGCCAGGGGTCCCCCGGGGTGCAGTTGAGATATGAGAGACATCATTAGGGAAGAGACGTGATATCCCGAAATCTGCAACTTTGACACTGAAACTCTGATCAAGGAGTATGTTATTAGTCTTGACATCACAGTGTATTATGTCAGAAGCATGAAGGTAAGCCAATGCACCAGCAGTTTCTATGGCAATGTTCAAGCGGACTGGCCAGGTGAGTGATCTGTTCTTCGCTCTGTCACCATGGAGGTGATCAGCTAGAGTTCCGTTAGGAATGTATTCATAGACAAGGATTAGTTCACGGCTACGCCTTGAAGTGCAGCCATAAAGAGTGACAAGATTGGTGTGCCTTAGCCTAGTAAGGATCTCAATTTCATTTACAAACTGCTGCATTTGTTTGGAGTTGTGCTCATAAAGGCGCTTCACAGCAACCTCTCGTCCATCCTTAAGTTGTCCTAGTCATTAGTGAACAAGTATTAGGCACATGAAGAAAGAATTGAAGCATAGCTCAGTTGGATTAGGAAGTCTCTCACCATAGTAAACAGTTCCGAACCCTCCATCTCCAAGAACTCGAGAGGATTTAAAATCATTCGTGGCTTCTTCAAGTTCTGAATAAGAAAAGACTGGGATGCCAAAGTATATACTGCCTCCCTCAACATCATTTTTAAATATATATGACAATTTCCTTGTTAAGAGGAAGTGGGGTGGATTAAATTTCCTCTTCTTGTAACACCAGATAAAGTAGACAGCTAAACAAGTTATCATCACCAATACTCCACCAAAAACTGGAAATAAATAAAAATCGAAGGTTTCAAAAAAAAAAGAAGCAAAACATCGCAATCTCTCAACTCCACTTTGTCATTATGAATATGTTTTGAGAATTTACCACAATGAAAAAGAAAATTCAAAGAACATGTATGGAAATTCTGAAATAGAAAGAAAGATGAGGTTAATGGATATTTAACTACCTGCTCCAAGAGTCAGTCCCAACTTGCTTCTATTTGCTTTTGCATCTAAACAGAAGAGGGAAAATTATCAGATGTCATATGAAACAAAAAAGGACCCTAAGAAATATGCATTTGACCTTGAACATGTTAATTATTTTGAGATGTCTACCTTTGTAACAAAGAAAATTGTTCTTCTTATCAGTCTGACATCGACCTCCACCATAGTGACATTTGTTACAGTCATCAGACAATTTCCATTCTACTAGAAATGCAGAACGTAAGAAGTTGACCAAATTATTACCAGGTTCTGTTTGGTAATATGGCAATCTGATAAGGGAACAGTTGGCAGTAAGATTGTCTGCTAGAATGTCTTCATCATCAACTCCATAAAACTTGTAGTATATGGTGAATCCATCACAGCCATCATATGAGTAATAACCATCAAAATGATCTTTCATCTGCTGATTAATGTATGGGTTGTTACTACTAGTCCTATTGCATTTGTAGAAGTTCTGAAGGTTAACTGCAGAGAAAGAAATAGAAGGAGAGCCTGAAAGGGAGATATTTTTGTTAAAAGCTTGGCACTTGTTTTTCCTCAATATAGTTTGAAGCTTCGGGTCCACGACCCAAACTGTATAACTATACTCCTTGCCTATAGCATAGTACCATTCTCCTCCAGGAACCAGTTGGATTCTTGGAAATAGTTTAACATCACAACCAGAGATGGGAACTATTCCGCAGTCGGGTTGTGTGGAAAGAGAGAAAGGAAAGCTCAGGTCAGTAAGATTTCCACATGAAAAGGACTTTGGACAAGTTGAATCATTTCTCCCCTTTGCCTGAACTAACATCAGAAGAAGAGATAGAATAACGCAAACAGACGAAGAAGCCAAAGACATATTGTGAATCCTACTGCAAGAAGAGCAAAGCTAGCTGAAGTTTTTGTGAATTGCAACTCTAGTTCACCAGACTGGTATCTTATAAGATCAAGTGCCATAACTTCTAAACACTTTCTCCATTAATAGTCTCCATCTTACTGGTAAAACTTGTCAAAAAGAAATACTAACTGGAACCAAACATAATCAGACTTATTGAGGAAACAAAGGCAAGGCTTAGAAAATATTGAAACTTTCACATCAGTAAAGACTTGACTTATTGACTCTGCAATATACCAGGCAACTTCTTATCAGTTTCAGGACCAAAGTCTTCAAAAATGGTTGACTTAACCTGTAGAAATATGAAAATGAAAAGGTTCTAGTCACACCCCAAAACACAACTAAAGATAGTTTGATAATGTAAAAAGAATACTGCATACTTATCAGGTAGCTTCATATCTCCTCCTTATGGTGAACAAATCCAGTCTTCCATTTGCTCATTCTCACTAGAAATTACCAAGAAAGTTTTCCAAGTATAGCAGAGTATATACGGTGTAAGCTAGAAATACTTGCAATGTTCCAAGCCATCTTCTACAAAATTTTGAAAAAGTAACAAATCAGCAATCAGTATTCTAGAATATGGAACACTGGCCCCTCTATTCCATGACTAACATTGAAACAATAGTGCATATCACTATGACTAAATACTCATAAATTTCTAACGATGGCCCCTCAAATTCCATGAAACATAAACCTTATCTTCTTCTTTTTTCTCTAACTTCTCCCATCATTTTCTGTTACACCAGCTTTTGATCCCAAAAAGAAAAGAAAGTGTGTCATTGGACAGAGCCATTGCTTTACATTTTCCAACCTTCCAGTGTATATAACAGCTCTTATATAATGAAACTAAAAATTGAATCACTTCCACTCGTAGATACATTGCTCAAGAAACTTCTCCGAGTAGTACATTCATAGTCTCTCAAAATCTACATCAATAACAAAGGAAGGGGGTACAGAACTACTTTGTACTAGTTATACTAGAGCAAGTAATCCATTTACCAGTCACAGAATTTGGTGAAGGTAGTGATTTAACTTGTTTAAGCAATAACTGATCTTCTGATTCAGGGAAAGGAAATACTTTCTTTTCATTGTCAAATTCACTAGTCTGAATCTCCTTTAGAGTATCCAAAACTTCAACCATAGTAGGCCTCATGTCCCTATCTGTCTGTAAGCATAGAAAAGCCAGCTCTGCCACTGAAGTAGTCATTTCCAAAATCTTGGTATCTGAGTCGAACCCCAGGGATGGATCGATCAACTCATGAAATGCACATTTTACGATCTTGTTTATAGCAAAGTTAGCCAAATTAATTTCTTGGCTATGCCTGTTCATATCCACAGCTGGCATTGATGAAATGAGCTCAACAAGGACCACCCCGAAGCTATAGACATCACTTTTACTAGTCAGCTGATAACATTCTTGATACTTTGGATCAATATAGCCAGGGGTCCCCCGGGGTGCAGTTGATATATGAGAGACGTCATTTGGGAAGAGACGTGATATCCCGAAATCTGCAACTTTGACACTGAAATTCTGATCAAGGAGTATGTTATTAGTCTTGACATCACAGTGTATTATGTCAGAAGCATGAAGGTAAGCCAATGCACCAGCAGTTTCTATGGCAATGTTCAAACGGACTGGCCAGGTGAGTGATCTGTTCTTCGCTCTGTCACCATGGAGGTGATCAGCAAGAGTTCCATTAGGAATGTATTCATAGACAAGGAGTAGTTCACGGCTACGCCTTGATGTGCAGCCATAGAGGGTGACAAGATTGTTGTGCCTTAGCCTAGTAAGGATCTCAATTTCATTTACAAACTGCTGCATTTGTTTGCAGTTCTGCTCGTAAAGGCGCTTCACAGCAACCTCTCGTCCATCCTTTAGTTTTCCTAGTCATTGAAGAACAAGAATTAGGCACATGAAGATATAGTTGAAACATAGCTCAGTTGGATTAGTTCCTCACCATAGTAAACAGTTCCAAAACCTCCATGTCCAAGTACTCTGGAGGAACTGAAATCATTTGTGGCTTTTTCAAGTTCTGAATAAGAGAAGACTGGGACACCAAAGTATTTGCTCCCTCCCTCAACATCATGTTTAAATATATCCGAGAATTTCTTTGCCGAGAGGTAGCGGAATGGACTAAATTTCCTCTCCTTGTAACACCAGATAAAGGAGACAGCTAAACAAGTTATCATCAACAATCCTACCACACCAAAAACTGAAAGAGAAGTCAGTAAACCAAGTCACTCAAACAAAAATAAAAATAAAAATAAAAAGATAGCAAGGAGAAGGAATTTTCCTTTTTTTTTGATGAAAAAAGGTTATAGATTTCACTAAAGAGTGCCAAGAAGGTATAAGAAAGAGAACAGACTACAAAATTTCCTTCTATATTTTGAATGAATGCAAAATATATAACATAGCGTTCATATCCGATACAATGCTTTCTCTACACCATAAGTATAGACTTTTCAAACATCTAGATTTGACATGAAGTATTTTTCCCTCTATCATCATTAGAACATCTGTCATTCTTCTCCTGCCAGACATTCCAGAAAGAATTTTCCCTCAACTCCATTATCCATATGTTTTGTGTAACGGAACTTTTTGAACTGAAAGAATTTAAAACTCTTCTTTATGTTTCTTTATGTCAAGAGAAAGTTGTTGAACTTATACCACTTTAAAGATGAAAACTCAAATGATATGCATAGAAATACTGTAATAGCATATAGTATTACAGCTTAATATATATCAAAACTACCTGTGCCTAGAACCAGCCCCACCATACTTCTTGTAGTCGTTGCTGCATCTACAAAAGAGAAAATGTTATGGCATATTATCGATATGTGATATGAAAACAAAAAAGGACCCTAAGAAATATGCACTAGACTTTGAACATGTTGATTATTTGGAACTGTCTACCTTTTTGACAATAAAATTTGTTGGTTGTATCCGTCCGACATTGACCTCCATCATAGTGACATTTGTTACAGTCATCAGAGAGTTTCCATTCTACTAGAAATCCGGGAGTAAAAAAGTTTCCATCTAATGTTGGGTGAATTGGCAATTGGAGAAGTGAACAGTTTGTAGTAAGATTGCCTGCTCGAACGTCTTCATCATCACCTCCAGGAAGCTTGTAGTATATGCTAAAGCCTTTACAACCATTGTACATTTTATAACCAGAAAAATGCTCGTTGTTCTTCGGGGTACTACTAGTGCTGTTGCATCTGTAAAAATCCCTCATAAATATTTGGATAATTTTGAAAGATATCGAAGGAGAATCTGGAAGGGAGATATTTTTGTTAAAAGCCTGGCACTTGTTTTTCCTCAATATAGTTTGAAGCTTCAGGTCCACGAGCCAAACTGTATAATTAAACGGCTCGTCCATAGCATCATACCAATCTCCTCCAGGAAGCAATTGGATTCTTGGATATTGTTTAACATTACAACCAGAAATGGACATTATTCCACAGTCAGGTTGTGTTAGAAGAGTGAAAGGAAAGCTCATGTCAGTAAGATTTCCACATGAAAAGGACTTTGGACAAGTTGAATCATTTCTCCCGTTTGCCTGAACTAAAATCAGAAGAAGAGATAGAATAAAGCAAACAAAAGAAGAAGCCAAAGCCATATTGAATATCTACTGCAAGAAGAGGAAAGAGAGCTGAAGATTTGTGAATTGCAACTCTAGCTAAACAGACTATCTTATAGGCTCAAGTTCCATAACTAGTCGTTATCTTATTCATATATATTTGTAAAAAAGGAAACAGTATGTACAACCAAACGTATAAGAAGGGTCAGACTTATTGAGCAAAAGAAAGGCAAAGTAAAAAGGAAATTTCCACTGTACCTTTTCGTAAACAACCAAACGTATAAGAGGGGTCAGACTTATTGGGAAAAAGAAAGGCGAAGAAGAATAGGAAAGCTTCACATTACCTTTTCTAGCCATCAACACCAGTAGAAAGACTTGACTTGTTGACTCTGTGTACTAACAGAGACTTATCAACATTTTTCAGGACCGTCTCCGGAAATGGAAGATTTCAACTGTAGAAATAGAAGCAATATTCATTTCAGTTGTCTGAAAGTTAAATGGTTTGCAGATATATCCGAAGGCACATAAAGATAGTATGAGAATGAAATTTTCAGGACCAACCTTCCATTTGTTCATTTTTCTCACTATAAACTATCAAGAATATGTTTCCAACCTTCATCCCTAACTTATGAACACTCACCTCAGAAATCCAAGACACTGTGAGTGTATGACAAAGATTGAAACAAGAGTGCATATTACGATGACATAATACTTAGATAAACACTTGTACTTACACAGATTTCTAATGCCGGTCCTCAACAACTCCATTAGTTCTCGATTAAAAAGTTCTTAAAACTGCCGGGTGTATACAACTTAAACTTTTATAGAAATTAAAAATTGGATCACTTCTACTCATAGTACATAGCTCAAGAAACTTCTCACAGTAGTACATATGCAGTCTCCCAAAATTTACATAGAAGTAACAAAGAAACGAAGTATAGAAATCTTAACTACTTTGTACAAGTTATATCAGAGCAAGTAGTCCATTTGTCAGTCACAGAATTTGGAGAAGGTAGTGATTTAACTTTCTTCAACAAAACAATATCTTCTGATTCAGGGAAAGGAGGAGCTGCTACTATTTTAGCTTCATTGGCATTGAGATTAGTCTGAATCTCGTTTAGAGTATCCAAAACTTCAACCATAGTAGGCCTCACGTCCCTATCTGTCTGCAAGCACAGAAAAGCCAGCTCCGCCACTGAAGTAGTCATTTCCCGAGTTTTGGTATCTGAATCGAACCCCAGGGATGGATCAATCAACTCATTAACTGCAGATTTTATGATCTTGTTTATTGCATAGTTGGCCAAATTGATCTCTTGGCTATGCCTGTTCATATCCACAGCTGGCATTGATGAAATGAGCTCAACAAGGACCACCCCGAAGCTATAGACATCACTTTTAATGGTCAGCTGGTAACATTCGTGATACTTTGGATCAATATAGCCTGGGGTACCCCGGGGTGTAGTCGAAATATGAGAGACATCATTTGGGAAGAGCCTTGAAATCCCAAAATCCGCAACTTTAACACCAAAGTTGTGATCAAGGAGTATGTTATTAGTCTTCACATCGCAGTGTATTACATCAGAAGCATGCAGGTAAGCCAATGCACCAGCAGTTTCTATGGCAATGTTCATGCGGACTGGCCAGGTAAGTGATCCGTCCTTCGCTCTGTCACCATGAAGGTGATCAGCAAGAGTACCATTAGGAATATATTCATAGACAAGGAGTAGTTCACGGCTTCGTCTTGAAGTGCATCCATAGAGGGTGACAAGATTATTGTGCCTTAGTCTAGTAAGGATATCAATTTCATTTACAAACTGCTCCATTCGCTTGCAGTTGTGCTCGTAGAGGCGCTTTACAGCAATCTCCCGTCCATCTTTAAGTTTTCCTGTTCATCGATGGGAAAGAATTAGCCAGAAGAAGAAACAGTTGATACATATCCAGGTTAAGAAGTTTCTCACCATAGTAAACAGTTCCATAACCTCCATCTCCAAGTACTCTAGAGGAATTGAAATCATCTGTGGCTTCTTCAAGTTCTGAATAAGAGAAGACTGAAACACCAAAGTATATACTGCCTCCCTCAGCATCATGATTAAAGATATTTGACAATTTCCTTGTCGAGAAGAAGTGGGATGAACTAAATTTCCTCTTCTTGTAACGCCAGATAACGTATACAGCTAAAGAAGTTATCATCACCGATCCTACTCCGCCAAAGACTGGAAGAGAAGTTAGTAATCAATGTCTTTGGAAAAGCAAAACGAAATAGCATCTAGAAGGAATTCTCCCTCAACTCCACATCCATACATTTTGTGTTTAAGTCTCTTCTTTCTGTTCCTTTATTGCTAGAGAAAGGATTTGAGCTTATACAAAATGATGGAATTTTAAATGATATGCTTGAATATTCTGTAATAAGAATACATGGCAGCAATTAAACATATTTTACTACCTGTTCCCAGAATCTGCCCCACCATATTTCTTCCAGTTGTTTCTTTTCTTTGATCGGTACTACCTGTAGGTGGTTTTGCATCTACAGAAGGTGGCAATAATACGAAATATATTATTTATGTGGCATGAAACAAAAAAGGGACTTAAGAAGCATGAACTTGACCTTGAAATTATAGATTATTTTGGAGATGTCTACCTTTGTGACAAGAAAATTTGTTGGTTTTATCAGTCTGGCATTGACCTCCACTATAATGACATTCGTTACATTCCTCAGACAGTTTCCATTCTACTAGAATTTCGGGACCTAATATGTCGAACAAATCACCATGACTTGATTGAATTGGCAATCTGATAAGTGAACAGTTGGTAGGAAGATTGTCTGCTCTTATGTATTCATCAACTTCAGAAAACTTGTAGTATATGCTAAGGCCTTCACAGCCACTGTACATATTATAATCCACAAAATGATTGTTCTTCTTCTGCATAATGTTATGGGCATTATTACTGCTACTGATGCATTTGAAGAACTTATTAATATTAATCATATGGAAAGACATAAAAGGAGAGTTTGGAAGGGAGAAATTTTTGTTGAAAGCCTGGCACTTGTGTTGTCTCAGTGTCGTTTGAAGCTTAGGGTCCCCAATCCAAACTGATGAATTATGCATCTCTAAAGCATAGTACCATTCTCCTCCAGGAACTATTTGGATTCTTGGATATGGTTTAGCATCACAACCAGACATGGACATTATTCCACAATCGGGTTGTGTGGGAAGAGAGTAAGGAAATGTCAGGTCAGTAAAATTTCCACATGAAAAGGACTTTGGACAAGTTGAAACATTTCTGCCCTTTGCCTGAACTAACATCACAAGTAGAGACAGAAGGAAACAAATAAAAGAAGAAGACAAATCCATACTGAATCTAACTGCAATAAGAGGAAAGCTAGCTAAAGCTTTGTGAATTGTGACTCTAGAAGTCTATATCTTATAAGACATGAATAGTGTCTCCATTACTAGTCTTAAGTTTATTGGTAATGTTTGTTAAAAAGAAAAATGTGCAACACAAACGTATAAGAAGGGTCAGATGTATTAATCAAGTAAAGAAAGGTGAAGAAAAAAAAGGAAATGTTCACATTAGCTTTTCTAGCAATTGACTCCAGTAGAAAGACTTGCCTTCTTGACTCAGCAATATAACATTATTTTCAGGACCACCAAAAATTAATGACTTGACCAGTAGAAATAGAAGCTATACATACATCCATATGTTAAAAAAAAAAAAAAAAAAAAAATATTCTAGTCACACCCCAAAATGCACCTAAAGATAGTCTGAAAATGTAAAAAAAAACACTGGAATCTATGACTAAGATTCAAACAAGAGTGCATCATATCATATATTATTATAAGTGGGAAGCTTCTAACCTCAAAGTTGAATTACTATTTTATCCTTTATTTAAATATTATTTTTTTTATGTACAAAAGAAAAAAATATATTCTAATAACTAAATACAAAACTGGATATAAATGGGAGCAGTTTTAAGGTATTCAAATGTGCATTATATTATGTAATAAATATATTGGAAGATAGAAAGTCATTCAAATGGATGAAATAGCTTGAGTAAGTTGTTAGCGGAAGTCCAAGCATTTGAAAATTGAAGAGTTATCTTGATGACACTTATTTCACATTATTATTGCCAACTTCAATGTAATTGTTAACAATTATATATATGGGGATGTTCATGGATTATTTGATAGGCATAGCTTGTGAAACACTGAATGCAAGGAGGGAGTCAAGCCACTCAAGAATTATTTTTTCATGCTCTCTTTGATCAGTAAGTTTAATAAAAACAAATATGTTGCTTCTATTTCCTTAAATAAACATTTCATATTTATTTTTTTGAATTTTTGACAAGAAAGCTCTTTTACATGTATTCACCATCTTGAAATGTGTATGCATGTTTACTTATGAATCATGATTCGAAATACGAAGGTTAAATTATCTAATTATTTTATATCATTTCATGAATTAAAATAGAATATTTTTAAATTCTTTAGAATAAATTTTACATATTTATACATTACAATCAAAAGTGACAGGAAATTCACTTTTAATTATTTTGTGTTTGTAGATAACCCTTTTATTTATTTACTTTTTATGAATGAAAATGTGGAAGTAAGAAAGAAAACTATAAAAATAAAATGGTGGGAACATAAACGAAAGGCGAAGACAAGAATTAAGGCAAATGATGCAAAATAGTAACGTTAGGGGAAAATAATAATAAAGTAAGAGAAAAAAAAGGATAAAAAATATTAAAATATGATAAGAAGTATGAAAAATAACCATGACCAAACTATTGTAATTTTTTGTTCATGCTACAAAGGAGAATAAACATACTATGTCATGTGAATGTAATATGGAGACAACATATATACTTGTTACAAGTACATATGGTAATTCAAACTTCGGTACAAATTGAGAAGGTATTTTATGTGTGTATTGTCCCTTTCTTAGAAAAGTAACAAACTAATATATTGCAGGTTTCGGCCTAATAACATAAAAAGGTAAATTATTTATCACATTAAATTTTGTTGTTCAAATTTGGCAGGTTACCGAAATATCTAATTATTTGGCATTTACATTTTACAATAAAGAAGTCATTTATATAGGTTGATTGTTCATTTATTTCATTTATATTTTTTCGTTAAATCATTTGTGAAATTCAGCACAATGTGATTTTAATATAACTCCTACCACATATAATATTTTCGTGGGACTCACGTGCAAAGCACGTGTTCAGGACTAGTATTATTAAAAGTGGAAGCATCAAAGTACAATGTTGGATTACCATTTTACCCTAATATTAAATAAAAATGTTATAAAATATTTAATTAACAAAATATTAAATAGTAATCATATCACATATTATACTGTACTTAAAATATATATTTTTACATAAAATAGATACATTTAAAATACAATTATTAATTGATAATCTTCTAAAAAAACTGTTGTCTCTTTACATTCTCCACTATGATCCTTGTCTTTTCATTTCACATATGTATATCTTCTTGTTCTTTACATTTTGTTTTTATGAGTTTGATAGAGAGCATAGGAACACTGTCCTTTCCGATGCTCCATTGTGCATGTTCTTTTAAGTTATTTTTTGGGAAAATGCACAAGTACCCCCGGAAAAGGGGTAGAAAATTATATATATAATAAGTTCGGGGGTAATAGGACCTTAGTAAAGGTTAGGTGTGTCTCATGGATTTAGGGCATAGGCTGGGGGTACTTATGCATTTTCCCTTATTTTTTATTTTGTTTCTTACTTCTTACTTCTTACTTCTTACTTATCATATAGTTTATTGTTTGATTGATGTTTAAGATTTTGATCTCTGATATAAAATAAAAAATTTAATTTTGTGTCAATAGCTTATGAGATGATTTTTTTGTTGCAGGGAAAATCAATTGATGAGATGCTTCTGTCTCAATCGCATAGAACTGTACTTTGAGTTGTGCCAATACTAATGGGGTAAGTGACATTTCCTTCTAACATTAATTTTTTTGTTAGCACAATATTCTTTGTTTGGTTTTTCTTTTCTCTTTTTTATTTTGTTAATAGTAGGTCAAATTTATTGAATTTTCATTCATGTGATTTATTTGTGTGTAAAGCTAATTAAGTATTGAATTTTGATATCAACCGTCATAACCCAATAAAAGTAAAAAACGTATTTATGAGCTATGGCATGTTGAGTGATTTGATATTCATTGCCTATTTGGCTTCACTTTCTTTGTCTGAATTTAATTTTTTTAATGGAGCTTTCATCCAAAAAGAAAGAAGGGAGGATAACAACCCATGTTAAGAAAGAAAGGAATGACTACAATATCATATTTTGGTTATTTTTCTCACGAAATTATATTAACTTTCTTTGCTTTAATTTTAGTTGATTGCTTTAGTTATTTGAGCCATAGTTTATCCCTCCCTTTCTCCTTTAGAATTTATATTACTTATCACTCACATGTCGTAATATTATTTTTTATCCCTTTTTTTTTTTTGACAACATAAAACAATACATGTCTTTTTGTTTCTCAAGTACAATTTTAACAATACAGTTCGACAAAATATAAATGAAATGTTGAATTCCTTTTCTAACTAAAAAAAATATTATAATTGCGTTGAGTCACATCAAATAAAGTTCGTATAGAAATGTAATATTGATTTTGGAGGTAGGACAACGGTTAATTGATGATATGAGCATATTAAGCCTGCAATCTATGGATTTAATTAACTTAATTGTTTTTTTTATCAAAACATAACATCTATATAAAAACTACTACTAAAATTTGACAAATTCATATCAAATTTTAACTCATAAATTCAAATTAAAATCAATTTAGTACTAATTAAGAATCTTCAAAGTTGGACATTTTAGATATTGGATGTCATTGATTTTTGAATATATTTATCATATTGATGCAATTTTGAAAAATACTTATGCTCACTGTGGTAAGGGATATACGCGCGTGCCCAAATACTAGTAGTGATATAAATACCTCAACTTGTGAAAAAAATGAATGTTTTAAGCACTTCTAACCTCGCATGTTCATGTCCACAGTTAATATGGCTACTATTAACCTTCTCCCATTCATTTTCTGTATCACCAGTTTTGATCCCGAAACAACGAGGGGGCCATTGGACAGAGGAGCCACTGTCACTCTGATGATCCCCTTTACATTCTCCGACCTCGAGGATTCAACAACCTCTTCTGTGTACTGAAAGTGTATAATATTCCTATGCCATTGGGTTAAGTTACCTGCAATAACAAGTAATTGTTTGTAACAGATATGTATTATAAGCTTGAAAATAAAGTAGCAAAACCTGCTACAACAACTAGAGAAAAGTAAATTTTATTAGAAAAAATAGACTGTCCAGCAATACAAAGCTGATACTGAAACATTACACAAATAGAGTAAAAACTTCTACACTGCAAGGTATATAACATAAACTCTTAAATAATGAAACTAGAAATTGAATGACTTCCAGCTCAAGAAATTTCTCACAGTAGTACATCAATAACAAAGAAATGGGGTGTAGAACTTTTAACTACTTTGTTCTAGTTATATCAGAGCAAGTAATCCATTTATCGGTCACAGAATTTGGAGAAGGTAGTGATTTAACTTGTTTCAACGATAACGTATCTTCTGATTCAAGGAAAGGAGAAGCTGTTACTATTTTAGCTTCAGTGGCATTGATATTAGACTCAGTTCTCTTTTCATTGCCAAATTCACTAGTCTGAATCTCGTTTAGAGTATCCAAAACTTCAACCATAGTAGGCCTCATGTCCCTATCTGTCTGCAAGCACAGAAAAGCCAGCTCTGCCACTGAAGTAGTCATTTCCCAAATCTTGGTATCTGAATCGAACCCCAGGGATGGATCAATCAACTCATGAAATGCACATTTTACGATCTTGTTTATTGCAAAGTTAGACAAATTAATCTCTTGGCTATGCCTATTCATATCCACAGCTGGCATTGATGAAATGAGCTCAACAAGGACCACCCCGAAGCTATAAACATCACTTTTACTAGTCAGCTGGTAACATTCGTGATACTTTGGATCGATATAGCCAGGGGTTCCCCGGGGTGCAGTTGAAATATGAGAGACATCATTTGGGAAGAGCCTTGAAATCCCAAAATCTGCAACTTTAACACTAAAGTTGTGATCAAGGAGTATGTTGTTAGTCTTGACATCGCAGTGTATTACGTCAGAAGCATGTAGATAAGCCAATGCACCAGCAGTTTCTATGGCAATGTTCATGCAAATCGGCCACGTGAGTGATCCATCCTTCGCTTTATTACCATGGAGGTGATCAGCAAGAGTTCCATTAGGAATATATTCATAGACAAGGAGTAGTTCACGGCTTCGCCTTGAAGTGCAACCATAGAGGGTAACAAGATTGTTGTGCCTTAGCCTAGTAAGGATCTCAATTTCATTCACAAACTGCTGCATTCGTTTGCAGTTGTGCTCGTAAAGGCGCTTCACAGCAACCTCTCTTCCATCCTTAAGCTTTCCTGGTCATTGATGAACAAGAGTTAGGTACATGAAGAAACAGTTGAAGCATAGCGCAGTTGGATTAGGAAGTCTCTCACCATAGTAAACGGTTCCGAAACCTCCATCTCCAAGGACTCTAGAAGAACTGAAATCATTTGTGGCTTCTTCAAGTTCTGAATAAGAGAAGACTAGGACACCAAAGTATATACTGCCTCCCTCAACATCATGTTTGAAAATGTCCGAGAATTTCTTCGTTAAGAGGAAGCGGGATGGACTAAATTTCTTCTCCTTGTAACACCAGATAAAGGAGACAACTAAAGTTATCATCACCAATCCTACACCACCAAAAACTGAAAGAGAAGTCAGTAATCTCCCTCAACTCCAGTATCCATACATTTACATAACCTAAGGTACTTGTCTTTTCCTATCATTCTGTCATTATCTAATAAAGTTTAAATGATATGCATGTAAATTCTGAAATAGGAAAGAACTCTGCAGTTAATGGATATTAAATTACCTGCTCCCAGAGTCACTCCTAACTTGCTTTTTGTTGTTTTTGCATCTAAAATAAGAGCGAAAATACTATGAATATTAATGATATGTGAGATGAAAATAGGAAAGGGTAAGAAATATGCACTAGACCTTGAGCATGTGGATTATTTATACCTGTACATTGAAATTTGTTGGTTTTATCAGTCTGGCAATGACCTCCACCTTGGTGACATTGGTAACAGTCGTAAGACAGTTCCCATTGTACCAGAAAAACGTGACTTAACATTTTGAACACATCCCTATCATATGCTAACGTGTCAATTGGCAATCTGATAAGTGAACAATTGGCAGGAAAATTGCCTGCTCGAATGTCTTCATCACCATCTCCAGAAAGCTTGTAGTATATGCTAAAGTCTTTACAACCATTGTATATTTTATAACCAGCAAAATGATCATTCTTCTTATGGGTAGTGTTTGGGGCATTACGACTGGTGCTGTTACATTTGAAGAAATCGTGAAGCGTAGGGGTAGTGAAAGAAATAGAAGGAGAGTCTTGAAGGGAGGAAACTTTTAGTCTAAAAGTACTGGCACTTGTGTTGCCTCAACATGGTATGAAGCTTCGGGTCCAAGAGCCAAACTGTAAAATTATGCGGTTTTTCCATAGGAGTGTACCAATCCCCTCCAGGAAGCAGTTGGATTCTTGGATATGGTTTAGTATCACAACCAGACATGATCATTAGTCCGCAATCAGATCGTGAGGAAAGAGAGAAAGGAAAGCTCAAGTCAGTAAGATTCCCACATGAAAAGAACTTTGGACAAGTTGAATCATTTTTTCCCTTTGCCTGAACTAAGATCAGAAGAAGAGATAGAAGGAAGCAAATAAAAGAAGAAGCCAAAGCCATATTGAATCTATACTGCAAGAAGAGGAAAAACTCGAAGGTTTGTGAATCGTAATTCTAGCTAGCTCACCAGAACTCTCTTATAAGATCAAATTCCATAACTTCTAAACATTGTAATCATTACAAGTCTTTCTCACTGGTAAAATTTGTCAAAAAGAAACACTATGTGGAACCAAACGTATAAGATGGGTCAGACTTATTGGGGGGAAAAAAGCTGAAGAGAAAAGGAAATTCTTACATTGGCCTTTAGCCATTGACACCAGTGGTAAGACTTGACTTCTTAAGTCTGCAAACAAACATCAACATCTAAGTCTTTGGAAATGGATGACTTGAACTGTAGAAATAGAAGCAATATTCATTTCAGTTGACTGAAATTTAATTGGTATGCAGATAGATCCAAAGGCGAAAACAACAAAGGAAATGGTTCTTGTCACACCTTAAAAGACACGCAAAGATAGAATGTAAAAACAAATATACAACTTTGCATTTGCTCACTTTCTCATTAGAAACTACCAAGAAAGTATTTTCAAGATTGACGGAGTATACACAAAATAAGCTAGAAATATAGGCTATGTTTCATGTCATCTTCTCCGATGATTTAGAAAAGAATCAAATCATTATCGCCATCCCTAGCTTATGGAACACTCACCTTAGAGTCCAAGACTATGAATTTATGGCTAAGGTTGAAACACTCAAACTAACACTAGTACTTGCATAGATTTCTAATGATGGCCCCTCTATTCCAGGAGTTCCATTAGTACCTCATCTTGTTAGTTTAAGCTTATAATTTTTTTTCCTAATTTCTCCCATAAGAAAAGACAACAAAAAGAGAGGGTCTTTGGACAGAGCCACTGCTTTGCAGGACCTGCCAGTATATGTGACAGCTCTTATATAATCAAATCAAATATTGAATCACTTTCACTCATAGATACATAGCTCAAGAAACTCTTACAGTTGTACATTCGTAATCTCTCAAAATTCACATCAATAACAAAGAAAGGGAGTATAGAACTTTTAACTACTTTGTAGTAGTTATATCAGAGCAAGTAACCCATTTATCAGTAACAGAATTTGGAGAAGACAGTGATTTAACTTGTTTCAGCATAAACTTATCTTCTGATTTAGGGAAAGGGAGTGCTGTAACAATTTTAGCTTCATTTCCACTGAGATTAGTGTCAGCTCTCTTCTCATTGTCAAATTCACTAATCTGAATCTCTTTTAGAGTATCCAAAACTTCAACCATAGTAGGCCTCATGTCCCTATCTGTCTGTAAGCATAGAAAAGCCAACTCTGCCACTGAAGTAGTCATCTCCAAAATCTTGGTATCTGAGTCGAACCCCAGGGATGGATCAATCAACTCATTAAATGCACATTTTACAATCTTGTTTATTGCAAAGTTAGCCAAATTAATCTCTTGGCTATGTCTAGTCATATCCACAGCTGGCATTGATGAAATGAGCTCGACAAGGACCACCCCGAAGCTATAAACATCACTTTTACTAGTCAGCTGGTAACATTCATGATACTTTGGATCGATATAGCCAGGGGTACCCCGGGGTGCAGTTGAAATATGAGTGACATCATTTGGGAAAAGCCGTGATATCCCAAAATCTGCAACTTTAACATTAAAGTTGTGATCAAGGAGTATGTTATTAGTCTTCACATCGCAGTGTATTACGTCAGACGCATGCAGGTAAGCCAATGCACCAGCAGTTTCTATGGCAATGTTCATGCGGACTAGCCAGGTGAGTGATCCGTCCTTCACTCTGTCACCATGGAGGTGATCGGCAAGAGTTCCATTAGGAATGTATTCATAGACAAGGATTAGTTCACGGCTACGCCTTGAAGTGCAGCCATAAAGAGTGACAAGATTGGTGTGCCTTAGCCTAGTAAGGATCTCAATTTCATTTACAAACTGCTGCATTCGTTTGCAGTTGTGCTCGTAAAGGCGCTTCACAGCAACCTCTCGTCCATCCTTAAGTTTCCCTAGACATTAATGAACAAGTATTAGACACATGAAGAAAGAATTGAAGCATAGCTCAGTTGGATTAGGAAGTCTCTCACCATAGTAAACAGTTCCGAAACCTCCATCTCCAAGGATTCGAGAGGAATTGAAATCATTTGTGGCTTCTTCAAGTTCTGAATAAGAGAAGACTGGGATGCCAAAGTATATACTGCCTCCCTCAACATCATTTTTAAATAAATATGACAATTTCCTTGTTGAGAGGAAGTGGGGCGGATTAAATTTCCTCCTCTTGCAACACCAGATAAAGTAGACAGCTAAACAAATCATCACCAATCCTAATCCACCAAAAACTGGAAAAAAATATCAGTAATCAGAGGTTTTCAGACAAAAGAAAACATCACAAGGAAAAAGAAAGTGTCCTCTCAACTCCACTATCCAATCATTTTGTGTAAGCTAAAGTACTTACCTCTCTTATCATCCTTTATCATTAAGGAAATGTTTTGAGATTTTACCACAATGAAGAAGAAATTCAAACGATATGCATGGAAATTCTGTAATAGAAAAAGATCGAAAGGACACTGCAGTTAATGGAAATTTAACTACCTGCTCCCAGAGTCAGTCTGAACTTTCTTTTAGCCATTTTTGCATCTAAAGGAAAAGGAGGGAAAGTATTATGAAATATTATAGATATGTGATATGAACACAAGAAAGGACACTAAGAAATATGCACTGAGTGACTGATCCTTTTTCAAGTGAAGAAATTTCTTGATGACCTTGATCATGTTGATTATTTGGATATGCACAATGAAATTTGTTGGTTATATCAGTCTGGCATTGACCTCCACCATAGTGACATTTGTTACAGTCCTCAGACAGTTTCCATTCTACTAGAAAACCGGCGCTTAACATATTGAACAAATCACCATCATCTGATCTCGAGTGGGTCGGCAGTCTGATAAGTGAACAGTTGGCAGGAAGATTGCCTGCTCGAACGTGTTCATCATCGCCTCCATGAAGCTTGTAGTATATGCTAAAGTCTTTACAGCCATTGTACATTCTATAATCAGCAAAATAATCTTTCATTTTATGGGTAATGTTTGGGGTGCTACTACTAGTGCTGTTGCATTTGATGAAGTTGAGAATATTCACTGGGAGAATTTCAAAAGAAATAGAAGGAGAGGCTGGCAATGATAAGTTTTTGTTAAAAGCCTGACACTTGTGTTGCCTCAACTTGGCATGAAGCTTAGGGTCCTCAACCCAAACTGTATAATTAAACAAATTTACTACAGCATAGTACCAATCTCCTTCAGGAAGCAGTCGGATTTTCGGAAATGTTTTAGCATCACAACCAGATAAGAACATTATTCCACAGTCAGGTTGTGTGGAAAGAGAGAAAGGAAAGCTCAGGTTAGTAAGATTTCCACATGAAAAGGATTTTGGACAAGTTGAATCATTTCTGCCCATTGCCTGAACTAACATCAGAAAAACAGATAAAAGGAAGCAAAATAAAGAAGAAGCAAAATCCATATTGCAAGAAGAGGAAAACTAGCTGAAGGTTTTTTCATTATACAGTATAAACTCTACCTAGATCTATTAATAGTCTTTAGCTTAATTGTAAAATTTGTCAAAAAGAAACCAAACGTATAAGAAGGATCACACTTGTTAGGAAAAAGAAAGGCAAATACAAAGAAAAAAAAATTGAAGCTTTCACATTGACGCAAGTAGAAAAACTTGACTTCATGACTCTGTATATTAACAACAACTTTACTCATTTTAGTTTTCGGAAATTTAAATGGTATGCAGATACATTCGAAACATGAAAACGAAAAATGAAATGGTTCTAGTCACAACTCACACCCTAATAGATACGTAAAGTTAGTAAGATGATGTGAAAAGAACATTGCATATCCATTTGCTTATTTTCTCACTAGAAACTGCCAAGAAAGTTTCTAAAGATCAGTGACGCAGCCAGAAATTTAGCGAAGGGTGCGTAAATTGTCTTCTAAGTTACGTTAAAGGTGTGCAAAATTAAATAACTGCACACTACATAATTTTGCAACGAATGGTGTGCATCACGGAGTCAGCAAACTATGTACCAAAGTCATCTTCTTTGAAAAATAATTAATCTTTAGTTGTCATTTCTAGCTTGTGAACACTCACCCTAGTATACATGACACTATGGGGTCGTTTAGTACGCGGGATAAGATGGAATATCCCACGATTATACCATATCTCACCTTATTCCATCCAACTTAAAATTATTTTATCTCATCTCTCGGGTGGAATAAATTAAATTAGTCCGAAGATAATTTAATCAGTAAACCAAACAACTCCGGCTAATATATGAAATACTAATCCCATCATTTTAGGAGTACAAAATAATCTCGAAATTAGCTAATATCTCAAACTAAACATGAGATGATTTACCGGAAAAATCACTCCGGTGATCCCCTTCACATTTTCCGACTACCTAGGGTTCAATAACCCTTTTTCCCATTTACGTTCATTTCCCTCTTTCTCCTCGTTTGTAAACTCCTTTTCATCTTCAAACCCTAGCCCAAATCGCCGGTAGAAAAACTCCGGCGACCCCGGGAAACATTTGCCGGCAATGGTGTTTTCTGTCTTTTACTTTTATTTTGTATTTCATCTAACTTTAGTCCCTTTTTTTAACAAAATCATCATTTTCACCCTCTCGTATATATTTTTTACAATATAGCACATAAATTTAGTCAACGATCAAAATCGGTAAATAATAGAATCTATTTAAAAATTCGTAGAGTTATACATATCAAATTAAGCTCATAAATTAGAACTTTACTTTCATCAAAGTAAATGTGTTGGGGGCGCGATTTAACTAATTGAGGTTAATAACTAAAAAGTCATGTATAAATAGGAGAATTTCGCTACCATCTCAATGGTCAATTATGAGTTTGTTAAACTTAAATATAAGTTACGATTTGTTGCATTAAACTTGCCTGTCAATGTGAATACTCAGTCTATAATAATTTTGCTTAAAATATAAGGCTCGTGATTTTTTTTATTCTTTATAATTCTATGATATTTGTGATTCACTGGACCAACAAAGTTAAATTCACGCGTTTAAGCTTGTTTAATAGAAAAATGCTCCTTGTATTGAATCTTCTTAGCTTTTTATATATTATTTTATATATATTTTGACTCTTCTAATGAGAATTTTAGCTCCGACCTAACTTGTATTCAAAGAAAACAATTGATCTTCCAAATTTTTCCAACACTCTCAACTAGACTTTGGAACTTATTAGCAAAGTCTTGAATAAACAGACAAAAAAGAAAAAGGGACCATCAAGACTAAGAAATTGGACAAATTTGTCACTCATATTATATAATTGACTTGGTCATATAGAATATAGTATATAGTATATAGTAATTCTAATTGTTTTTATTCATGTGAAAACAAGACATGTTTATTTTTATCTTTAAAATTGAGGTTTCCATTTGGTTCATTCTATGTTTTTATTTGGAAATTATATGTTGTGAAATAATTTTATAATGATTATTTTCAGTCAGGAATTTTGTTAAAAGTGTTTAAGATTTAATATACATGTAATAAAAAATAATTTTAATATGTATATTGAGTATAATTTTATATATATATACACAGAATAATTTTTTGATGAAGAAAGTTCAATTGATAACCCTTCATTGTATGTGACTTTACTACATAATTTTTTCAATAGAAATTGTGGACGCGGAGATTATTTGTTACTTCTTTTGTTTTAATTTATGTGGCGTTATTTTCTTATTAGCTCTTTTCAAAGAGAATGAATTGTTTTTATATTGAAAATGATTAATCTTTAAACGTTACATTTTACTTTTAGTAAAATGCTTTTGTAGTCACATAAATGTTCTGATATGCTTAAGATCACTAGTTTTAAAGTCTTGTAACGAGAGTCTAGATAAATGTTATGGTATGTTTAAGATCGCAAGTTTTAAAAGTGTTGTTTTCTTTCTTAAATTTCGTTTCAAGTCAAATTATGGCGAAACGAAAATATTTCTATATTTTTGTTGAAGCATGATATACCTCATAATGTCCTATCAATTTCAAGTTCCTAGTGACTTGAATGCTAGATAGATCTTGTCCCATCAGTTTATTTGTCCACAAAACTTATGGACCGCTAAATACACAAATGGATTGTGTCAAGTGTCACATAATGATTGGCGGAATGGATTGTTGTCTTATGATCTTGGATAGTCCTCATCTCGAAAATTAGTTTTTAGACTGAGTTAGCTCCAACGCCATTTTATTCAACATGGTATTAGCGCGAGGCTCGTCTTTGTTCTTGCTTTATCCAATGTTGGACCTATATATTATATTATCCACGCTTCAAATGTTCAATTCTAGATATAGATAGACCATGTATAAGTTAAATTACCATCATTGTACTCTGGACCTATGGTGCTCAGACTCTTCAAAAATATCATTCGGTGTGTGTTGGATCCTCAAAAGATATGCACTTTTTAAGGATCTGATACGGGTGCAGAGCAACATTTTTTTAGGGTCCGAGCAACATAGCTTAGGGCCAGCAAAAAAAACAGAAAAAGAAGGTAATTTCATGAACATTGACAATTGAAAAGGCAAAAGAAGCATAACATCAAGAACATAATTTATTATATGTACATTCCTATAAGCTCAAATGCTTTAGCTAAGAGTTAGTAGATTCTGAAGTCTGAAAACTATATTAGCTAAGATATTCACCTATGGTGCTCGAATTCTTCAAAAATATCGTCAGGTGTGTGTCAGATCCTCTAAAAGCTACGCATTTTTCAAGGATCTGACATGAGTGCGGCAACATTTTTTGAGTGTCCGAGCAACATAGATAGTCACTCACTCACTAGTGCTTGTTGTGGTAGAGCCACTAATCCATACCTCACTATTAGTATCTGATGAACTTAGGAACTTAACTTTCTTTAACAGTGCAACTTGATCTGATTCAGGGGAAAATGGAGGGATATTAACACTCTTAGACTTTGACAAATTAAAACTAGCACTAGTGTCAAATGTCTTCTCATTTTGATGAAACTCTCCACCTTGAATCCTTCTTAAAATGTCCAATACTTCATCCATTGTTGGCCTGATATCCTTATCAAGTTGCAAGCATCGAAAAGCTAGCTCCGCGACAGAGATAGTCATTTTCTTAGCAAGCGTATCTGAGTTTAGCCCGAGTGATGGATCGATCAGTTCATCAAATGCACATCTTTGTATCCTGTTTATCGCCAAGTTAGCCAAATTGATCTCGTTCTTGTGCCTATTTAAGTCAACAGCTGGCATTGATGATACAAGCTCGATAAGGACAACCCCGAAACTGTAAACGTCACTTTTGTCAGTAAGCTGATAACATTCGTGATACTCAGGATCAACGTACCCAAGCGTTCCTTGAGGAGCTGTTGATATGTGAGAAACGTTGTTGGGGAAAAGTCTCGAGAGTCCAAAATCTGCTACTTTGACACGAAAGTTGTTGTCGAGAAGGATGTTGTTAGTCTTGACATCGCGATGTATCACATCAGAAGCATGGAGGTAAGCCAATGCACTGGCTGTTTCAACTGCAATGTTCATACGGATGGGCCACGTGAGAGATCCCTCTGCTGCTCTTTCACCATGGAGATGATCAGCAATTGTTCCATGTGGAATGTATTCATAAACAAGGAGAAGTTCACGGCTGCGTCTTGATGTGCAGCCATAAAGGGACACAAGATTTTGGTGCCTCAAACGAGTAAGAATCTCGATTTCGGTTGTGAACTGCTGCATTCTCTTGCAGTTGTGCTCATAGAGGCATTTTACTGCAACTTCTCTTCCATCATATAGTTTTCCTAATTCATAATGTGAAATAACAATGAGATACTGAGTTTTCCGACACATGGTGAAAAGTGATCAGTTGAACACCCTTCGTCAAAATTATATGGTGTATACCGAAAACTATACCAAGTATAAAGGTCAAAAGTTACATTTTATACATATATTTATTTTTTTGAGAAGGATTTTATATAAATATATATTAAAGGCATAATACATAAACAGACACTCAAACTTGGACTCAGACAGCAAGTAAGCACTCCAATTTTGAGAGTGCACATCTAGATACCTCAACTTAGTGTCAATTGGCAACTAAACATTCCAACTCGTCCCCACTGTGTCTCGTAGACATCCAACATAGGCGTGGCACATAAATTTTGGAGGTGTCTAGATGATCATTTTGTAAGTTGGAGTATTCAACTGACACAAGACGGTTGAGGTGCCTGGATGTTCATACTCAAAGTTGGAGTGTTTAGGTGTCAATTGAGGCCAAGTTAAAGTGTTTATACACCGTCAACGAAATTCTTGGTTTCGCCACTGAGCATGAACACTAGCTACTTTTCACCTTTTGGAAATTGCTGTCTTTTTAACATAATTCTTAGGTTCAAAGAAAAACTTACCATAATATACAGTTCCGAAACCTCCATCTCCTAGTTCATTCAAGGGATCAAAATTGTTGGTGGCTTCCTTAAGTTCAGCATAGGTGAAAACTGGAACCTGAAATCCAAAATATTTGCTCTCTACCTCAAGATCCTGATGAAATTGTGTCAAACCATTCTTCCCTCGCTTGCGACACCAGATAGACAAGGCGAAAATGGAAGATAGTAGGATCAAACCAACTCCACCTAAAACTAGAAAACATAAGATACAGTAATCAAAATCTAATCCTTTGAAAGTGTACCACAAAAAAAAGGGAGCCTGGCCGGGGAATGGGCACACCCCAAGGGGTGTCATGTAGACAGCCTACCCTGATGCAAGCTTCAGTGGCTGATTCCACTGCTCAAAACCCAAGACAACTTTA